TTTCTATTTTTACTTGAATTAATATTATATATGCAAATTAAGAAAAGCAAGAGATAATTTAATGTCACATGAATATTGTTTATTTCTGCGTTATATGATAAAAATGCATGTCCAACTATCTATTATTCTTAATTTTCAAGACTATGTACAATATATTGATACTATGAATAAATTCTTTTATTTTATCGAAGCAACAATGAAGATCGAAACATTGATGTATAAATTTTATAGAAGAATTAAAATACAAAGAAATATTAGTCACATTCCTACTTTTTATCCCTACATAATAGAACGAAAAGAAAATATCTTCGTTAAAATTTGAGAATGTAGAAAAATTTGATAAGTGATACAGTTCTTATTATGACTCAACTTGACGTATGAGGTTAAAAATACAAGATGAAACGGAAATATACAAGTAGCGGTATGTTAAGGGCAGGAAAATTCTCAGCGAGCGTGTATGTATACTCAAGTTATTTCACTATTATACTATCATATATAAAGCCAGTTCAAACAGCTAACAGTCCGAGTAAAATGTTTGATATTTTTTCGTGTATTTTCAAAGAAAAGAAATCGAGTTTCACTGAATGATTTTCTTTTTAATAGAATAGTAACTCTAGTACTGTGGACTAAAAGTCTAGCTGAAAAACTTGCTTTTCTTCTTTGAAAATACACGAAAAAAATCAAACATTTTACTCGGACTTTTAGTTGTTTGCACTGTAGTTCAAGATTTTTATTTAAATCATTTATTACTAATTTATATAATGTTTAAAAATTGTAAATACTCTTTTTTTATTTAGTAATAGGCATAATTCGAAATGACGGATCAATCAGATGACTGCATAAAATGTTCTCAGGCTGAACAGCCTGGGGAAGGTCGGGTTACATGTGTGATGGATGATAATTCAAAAAAGATTTTGGATTACGTCCTTTCTCAAGGAACTGTGGATTTCCACCCTGCTCAAGGAACTGTGGATTACCACCCTCCTCAAGGAATTGTAGATTTGAGTAGGGAATTGAATCTTTCAGGTAAACATACTGTTTTATTTGCTTTCTTCAATTTCTCAGAATATATAATTTATTTAGACGTTCAATCCAGGTAGAATTGAACAAGAGGCACTTTTAATACATGATGAAAACACCTTAAGTAACGGTGATTCGGAAATAAATGTTGCCTCATCTGGTCTACCTATTTATTGAAAGTAAATACGATTACTCAAGAAGAGAATGTGCTTATTTTTATTCTGGAAGTTATTCCAAAACTTTGAACGAAAAGTAAATGCAAATGGTCTGAATATATTTTTTTAAATAGTATTTTATTATATTTCCGAATGCTTTTTTATTAGTCAGATTAAGACCATTTCTATCTTTTTTCAGTTGTGCTATTAACCATTTTTGTATTATATGACAAAAATATATGTCCAACTATATATTATTCTTAGTTTTCAAAGTTATGGACACTATATTTATACTATAAATAAATTCTTTTATTTTATCGAAAAAAATATTAACAATCAAAAGATTTATTGTTATATATTTGACCAAGCAATTAAAATACAACGAAACATTAACTACATGCATACTTTATGATTATTTATTCCATTGAGATTTTTGTTGTGATCTGTTAGCCACGATTTGGTAAATATGGCAAATTATGTTAATGAACTATTTTTTGTCTACATACTTAATAGAATGAAAAAAAATCTTTGTTAATGTGTGATAACGTTATAAAATTTCCTCGACGTGATAGAATTTTATTATTGACTCAATCTTCTTAAATAAGTTGGAATGATGACGACACGAAAATCTGCAAATAGTTATCTGTTGATCTAAGGAGTCATTTTAACTTTGGATATAAAGTTAAAATGTCTTACTATTGCTTTACAATATATAAAACTAGCTCACGATTTCTATTCAAATCATTTATAAAACTAATTTATATTTTTAAAAAGTGTAAATATTCTTGTATTTTCGTATACATAATTCAAAATTATGAGTCACGGTACTGATTCTATGCAATATAATTATGCTGAACAAGTTTCAAATGCTACACAGTATAATTATACTGGACACGTTTTAAATTCTACCCAATATAATATTGCTGAACAATCTCAAGAAGCTCGATTAATAAGCCCTACTCAAGATGACTTACAAAAAGCTCTACTCGACGATGACGCCTATCAATCAACTAGAGAATCATGGAATACTTCAGGTAAAAATTCAGTAAAGTTATCTTTCTTCAATTTCTTATAATATATAATTTATATAGGTGCAACTTCCAGGCATGATTAAAAAAACAATTTTTGACACGTTGCCCAATATGTAAACGTCCATTTTATGAACAAACTTATGATCGCCATGTTACATTTTGTATAAGTAAAATAAAATAGATATAATAATTGCCACTCGAAGAAATGCATGCTTGATGAAATTCAGAAGAGCTCTCGTTTTTCTCCATTTATTCGTAATGAAACGAAAAGTTTTATTCGAGCAAAAAAAAGCATGAATATATTTGTCGTAATCAAAAATAAAAATAATAGTTATGAATCATAAAAGAATGTCACCAAATAATAACGGATAAAAAATGTTAATAAACTTCCAAATACAATCTAAAAATATTTTAATTATTATTTTAATTTATAAAAAAACAAATTTCATACTTGTATTAACATTAAGATTCGAGAAAGTGTTTCTTCATGTAATGGTCCACACCAACAAAGAACTGTATTAATAATAGTAAAATTTGTTGTTGAAATCATAATTTCATTATCATTATTGGTAAATTCACGATAACGAATAAATTTTGTTATTGAAAAAAATCGTAACATTAACCAACCAAGTAGTTTCAAATCTTTTTTCTTGAATTCAACTATCGATGGGTTCAATTTATTTACGTCTGGATCCAATCTAAAATTAGTACATATAAACTTTTCAATACATTGATTATTTATTAATTTTACCTAGGTAAACGATGTCGTGGACATGGAATAAATTTAAATAATTGTGGTACCGAAAGTAGAAAATTAATAATTTGTGGTATAAAAAAAAGTAACATCGTCTTGCTAAAATGACCAATAATACCCACAACGGCAAATGTCATACCAGCAAAATAGCAAAGTGTATCACCAACAAATATTTCTGCTGGACACCTAAAAATATATCAATACAAAAATAAATGAATCAAAAGCGAAAACAAACCAATTTCGTATTAAAACCGGTATTGTACAAGCAATAAATGGAATCATAAAATATAATGAAAATAAATGTTCTTCAGAATTCGCACCTAAACAAAAACGTATATTTTGATTTAATTTTATAAAAACTCAACCTTGTAATTCAATTAGATTAAAAACCAATATTGAACAAGCAATAACAATCGATTGACCAACTTCAAGTCCATTAACACCGGCTAATATATTAATTGCATTTGTACAAAATACAGCTACCATACTCATATATACGTAATATAAAATTCCTAAAGATAAAAGTTAAATATATATATATTCATTGCAAGTATTTACCAAGATTCCATTGTTGACCTAAATATGGTCTCACTGGTTTAGGTAGAATAATTGTAGTTGAATGATAATTAGCAAAATAAACGAGTAATAATGGTAATGATGCAAACAATGGTAATAATAATTTAACACTCCAACGTAAATCAAGTACATCATCAGCAAAACCAAGTAATACCATACAACATATTGAAAGTAGTGCAGCTAAATATTCAACAAACTTGAAGAAGAGAAAGAATTATTTTTTGTTTTATTTAAAGGATCGTTTACTTTATGATTTGGAAATACACCTTCTGGATGTAAATGTTCAGCGAAAACAACAGCAATCATAATGAACATTAACACGAGAAAGATACCAGCTGCTATTACGCCTTGAGATTCCGCACTAAAAAATAACAAAATCTTAACTAGAATGGGGGTGGTCGACAATCATTAATTTTAATGTACGCTAGAAATGTCATAATACGAAAGTCCATGTTACCTAGATCACGAATCTGATACTGGATAATTCCATTGGATGTCAAACATAAAATACACAAATTATTCAGAAAACTTTCTTTCCTCTCAAACTTTGTAGAGCTTTTTTACTGATCATTTTCGTATAAGGAAGCCTCGGATTTAGTCGAGAAATAACGATGCTATCGTCATAGTAAAAACCCATTTTTTTCCTTATAAAGTATAGAAAAAAGTCGAGTCTTTAATCTCGAATCGGCCATATTCCGAAGACATAGTAGGTTTTATAGAGCACAAGTCTCTTTACAAAACCTACTATGTCATATTTCTTCGGAATACAGTCGGGCCGAGAGGAAATTTTCTGAATAATGTGTGTCTTTGTGTTTGAAACTTCATGAGACTACTCTACTGAGACCTAGGTACCCCCTACGGCAAAAACCGATACAAAGGGGATCACATCCAGACAAACGGATATCAGATTCGTGATCTAGACGACAAAGACTTTCGTATTATGACATTTCTAGCGTGCATTAAAATTAATGATTTTTCGATCACCCCCTTTTTTACAGTAAAAACTTACACTTTAACTTCTCTTGAATTTCGTTTATTTAAATCATAACCCCATAATTGTGCTTTAATAAATTTTTCTTTCAACATTGGTATTAATTGATGAACAATAAGACCACCAATAATTGAAATTGAAATATCAAATACGATCGTAAATCGATCAAAATGATCTATGACCGATATTGGTCTATCTTCAATTTGTTTCATACTACAAATAAAAAGAATAAAGTGAAATAATTGTTTTTCATTTTTATGCACAAATAAAGTGCTTTTATACAAAAGACGAAAAAGAAAAAAGAAAGGTTGTGGAAGGCAAATATAAATCATACTAGATATTCTAACAAAAGAAAAAAATTTTCAAATAAATATATAATGTTCTAACGAGTTTCCATTGGCATAGGAATACTCTTGATATAATCTTTTGTTTTCTTCTCATATTCACGTTCAATTGCCCATCCTTTCAGATCAACTTCAGGATGACGACGCATCCATATCATATGATGTTTTTGTTTCATATAAGCATCAATACAACTATGTGGTACACCCATTTCACCATATTTTTGATACCAATTTGTATGTGATTCAAATAAAGCATCTTTTTCTTTGGCACATTTATCTAATGCATCAATACGACCTTCATAAGCAATACAACGTGTTAAACGATCATGAAGAATTTCAACAATCATTGTATCTATACGTTTTTCACGTAGAAATGCCATTTCAGCTTCATAAAAACATGTTTGATCTTGAATTTCACATTCATCAATGGTTTTTACTGTACCAAATTTACGATGATAATATGGATATGCTTGACCACGAAATCTTTCAACAAAATTTCGATGAAACCATCGAACTGGTCGTAAATAAAGCATATCAATTGTTGTATAACCAAGATCAGACCATTTATTTAAACCATAGACATGTTCAGGTGGTGATGGTTCCGGCATTTTAGATTCTTAATTTCTATAACATAGAATTAAATAAATAATTTTTTAATAGTTTAAACTTGTTAAATCTAAAAATGAATAGAGTTTTCTTGAAACTATTGCTATTTTATCTTTTCGTGTAATATCGAAAATATTACTGATGAAAAAATCTTCTGGTGGATTCTCATTGGTTGAAGATGATGTGCCAATCAAAACTAAGCATTAATGTATTATCGTCTTTATATAACAATCGAACGCCATATTCATATTTATTTGAGATAAACAGAAAATTATTATTTATTTCATAGAAATGATAGATAAAACTATAATAAAAATATCATTCTATTGGCAAGTCATATTTATTAAAATAAAAATATTATTAAATACGAAATTAATAACTGTTATTATTGTTTGGTGATAAGTATGTTTTACTGACGATCATTAACAAGATCCTGAGACATCCGATTAGGAGTAAGGCTTCCATCTTCAGTGTAGAGTTATATGAACAGGGATTTTGGTATATTCTGTGCCGCTAAAATCAGAAACAAATCAACTGATATATGTTTATTTTGATCAAAACGTTTCTCTTGTCATTAATGAGAACTTCAGCTTTGATTGAGAAATTATAACCTATTAAAACTAATATGTTAGTCTACGTGAATATTATTGTGATTACTTTTATTTTTTAGGACAGCACTGATATTGTAAATGAAATGAGTTTGCACTCAACACCGTTGTACAACCAGGTACTATCTGTTGAAAACTATAACTCATACACGCTAGATTCTAAGTGAGATCGACATTGACAACAACAGGCAAACTTCCTTTATTTTCAGTCGAAACTAGTATACCCATTAACTCTTTACATTATAGCTTCTCGGAAACTTGAACTTTTCTCAGAGTACAAATAATAATACGCGGGGTAATATTACATTCAGAAAAACGTACTAAAACCTTTTATATATGAAAGAATTTAAGTGAAGGAATACAACTGAACATCGTGAATGTTGATATTGTAATAGGTATATCGTATATTTTGTAACATCTCTCATAGATGACGTGATACAGAAGGATTAAAAAGGAAATTTAGAAAATATATAAACGAATGGCTCTTGTAGCATAAGAAATGTTATGAGAAACCATACTATAGCTTCTTTGACTGACATTATCCATATAGATGGACTGATACATGACCAAGCTGAATAATAATATATCAAGTACTTCCTCATTTCAAACTGTAATATAAAAATAAAGAATACAACTCAATTGATCCTCTTATTGTATTCAAAAGCAAGTATTTTAGTTTTTATAATTCTTTTATTTATTTTTGTGCTATGATAATGAAATAATTAACCATGTATCATATCTTTTTAATTATATAAACATAAATGGAACACATTATTTGTTTTTATGAATAGTCTCTAGAATTAACGTCGTCCTGGCATTGCCCAGAGACCTTGAAGACTGTGTCCACCTTGATAATTGACTGGTTCACCAAGATATTTTTTTCGTCTTTCTTCACCATCAAAACGAGAGCCAGCACGATATGCTTTCTTGGCTTTCATTGCCCATGGTATAGCTCTTTCAGCAAAAATATGATCATTGTTATTTTCAGTATTATCAATTTCTTCAACGTCATTCCACAAGCCTGATGTTGCTAGTAATGGATCAGATATAAATCGTGTTCGTGCCCAACATGAGACCAATAACTATATCAAAATAAGATATGAAATTTGTTTTGTTAAAGAATATACTAACTTGCATAAATATAGCAGCAATGATGATTTGTTGATAATAGCGCATAATGTTAATCACAGAAATAATAGGTATGAGTATGAAGACGACTATGAAATATTTCTGACAAATACCGCTTAATAAATACTCTGATCGATAAGACGTCAACAGAAATTAATAATCAATCTCGGTTCTCTTTTTTTCCGGTGTATTTTTTTTAACCAGCATAAATAAAAAAAAGAAAGAAATATTAATGTGACATCCTATCTGATTCTATACAATGCCGTAAGTGCACTCGATCTTAACGTTGACATCGTCAATCAAGTTTCATCGACGACAAAACAAGTATAATTTATTCATTGTCTTCCCCCACATATTTTAGAATTATTTTACTTTAAATTTTAAAAAGAAAAAAATTTCTTTTAGTACAAAATGATCAATCAGTACTTCAATGACTTCTGAATGGTATCTATCCTTCCGAATCATATTTCAATGTTTACATAATTAAAAATGACCTATAAAATTTAATCACTCTTGCAAATGAAAAATATATCTGATCTGATTTTTTTGTATAGATACTCAATTTTGTTATGAATGGTTTCTTAAATAATCTATTGAAACATAAATGTTCTACGTAATCGTTGTCTGGCATTTAGGAACTATTGTTTTTTTACTATTTAAATTCGATCATGTGGGTTACTATTTTGTTTCACATAATAAAATCAATTGATCGATGATCTTTTCATTCAAAAACAACGTTCGAGCACGTATATTTTCTTCAAAGTGAACTCGTGTAAATGTGAAAAAGTTTAATATTACGAAGGTCAATAGACAAAATTTATCTTATATTATTTGTTGAACACTTTAAATTGTGTGGGATAAACATTCTTTTTCTCTATTCAATATGAATAGAGACTATCAAAAAGTCAAGGCTAACGCCCTAAAATCGACCGAAAAAATCATGTTCTCTCACGTACAGAATTAATCCTAACAGACTCCATAGTACAAAAACTATCACCATATAAACGGCGTTTGTAACTACAAGTAATCGACATTCTGTAGTTTAATATTCTGTGTCCTATATATCTTTAATCAACATGCATATCAACCTACTGTTTTTATTCGCTGTTTTTATTGTTGTGGTTAATTCAGCTGCAATACAAACGTCAAAAGCAAAATCAGCTTATGCATATTTACGTAGTGTTCGTGGTAATAAATCATGTGCTAGTGGAACATGTCCATTTTGGGAAAAACATGGCCGATCATTTGCAGCACTTCGATGTTATCAACAACAATATCAAGAATGTACATGTCTTCATCGCATGTGTTTTAGTTCATGTATGTTTACACGTGAAGTTTGTAATAAAGAAATGGTTCAATGTTTACAACAAATATGTCCACGTTGTATGCCAGCAAACTCAATGTCTATGTGTAAAGTTTATGATTCAATGGCTGTACGAGTTGCTGATGCACTTTCAGTCTTTTCTTGTTATGCATGTTGTCCTAATATCAACAAACCAAGTTCCAATAATACAAGTAATTTAGTTTCATAAATCTTTTTTGAAAAAAAATACTTTTCTTTTTTACATAGTGATGCAAAATGGTCAAACAATAAAACCTCGTAGGTGACGATCATTTTTGTTTTATATATTTGTTTTTTTGATTATTGAATAGCATCAGCAAATGCTGGAAATTCAATGTCACAAACCAATTCTGCAGGAGGTTAGTTGAATTATTTACTTTTGTTTTTCTATCTAATTTCTGTTGTTTTCTTATGAATAGGTATGTAAAGAATAATTTTACCATACAATAAATTTTTTATTTATGCTTAAAACAGCAGCAGCAAGTGCAACAACTCGTAAGAAAAAATAATTTATCTAACAAAAACTAATGTATATATATATATATATATTTATCTAGGAGCTCCTCAAAATGGTGTCGGTAATACAAATAATGGTAATACTATTAAATATATATCAATGTTACTATGAAAAAAATATATATAATCTTATTTTAGGTAATAAACCAGTAAATGCTGTCATAGGTAATAAGCCAGTAAATGCTGTCAATCAAAATAAACCAACAAACGCTGGCATTCAAACCAAACCCGCAAATACTGGCAATCAAAATAAACCAACAAATGCTGGCAGTCAGAATAAACCAACGAATGCTGGTAATCAAAATAAACCAACAAATGGTAAAGAAATTTTATAATTTCATATGTATAGATTCATTATTTTTTAGGAAATAACCTCGGAGGTATTGTTCCTGGTAATGGTAATATGGCAATTAATAATGCCAATCAGAAACCCAATCAAAATCAACCACTTCTTCGCAAAGTATCTACCACTGCTCGTACTCCTGTACAAGCTCAAAAGAAACCATAAACAAACAATTAGCTTTAAACAATAAATAGACACATAATTATAACAATTTTTCTTTCTTTCCTTTCTTTTTTCTTCTATTAAATAAAAGGGTTTCTAATAAATTTCATATATTTAATTTTAAAATTCAATTTCTTTCCTTAATTGCTTCGTACATGCATACATAAACATTTTCTTGTAATATAAAGTCAATCAAGCGTTAAGACAGTAATGTATATGCCTACGCTTTCACGCGTCATCCTCCTCTCCAATCTATCTCTTTTTTAACCAACCTTGCGCAAATTTGTTGCACATAGGTAGATAGTTGTGCATGCATCGCCTGCACATTTTTTCACTCATATATGTTATTTCATTATTCCTGATATATGAGAACGTCCAAGTCATGGTTTTATTTGTAAATGTATCACTACAGCCAACAGAAATTATAACTATCGTGCTGTTTGCTGACGTGTGACGCGTTCTCTTCTTGCCTTTTTTTTTTCGTTTTTTTTAGGGGTATTGTATAATTCGACGTCTCTCTCTTCCTTTCTCTCGCTCGCGCGCGCTCTCTCTCTCTCCCTCCCTCTTCCTCGACGGTAATTTTTTTGCGCCTGATGTATGTGATGTACAGATAGATACACAGTATAGCGACTCGTTGCAGTCAATTGGGTAGTATTGAAAAAGAGAGAGAGAGGTTCGGAGGACAGTGAGGGGAAAAGAGACAGTAAAAAATTAAAACATCCTTATAGTCACATATCAAGATAGAGAAAAGGCTTTTTTGTATTTCTCTTTTTTTTCTTTTTTTCTCTTTCTCTCTTGTTTCTTGAGTCCAGTTTGTTGTTTGTTATTGACGATCAGTATTATCATTGAGTTCTCTATCTTTTTATTATTTATATGAACTTTTGTCCTATTGTAGAAAAGTGATAGACCGCCTGCTAATCTGCGGCTATGTTTCAACGGACGGGCGGATTTTCAGGATCAAGAGCACGTGCGTACAATATATTCATCTTTCTACTTTCTTTTGTGTTCTAACTATTTCGATTATCTATTCCTATAGCATATGTGCCTAATGTTGCAGCATCTCGAGGAGTTTATCGATCATCATATGTACGACCATCAGTACGATATGCACCTCGACCTGCTCTACGACCAGTAGTACCAGCTGGTCGAGCACCCGGTGGATCTGGTATGCTTGCAGCTATTCTCGGACCCATCGGAGGTCTTACTGGATGCTTATGCTGTCTCAATACTATCGGAGTTTGGGGTCTATTTATTACGGCTATTCCATTGACCGTCTTTATTAGTAAGATATTTTAATATATATATATATATTTCATTTTCTATTATTAATTTTTAATCTATTCAAGGTCGATGGTATCGTGATTATAAAAACCGTAATGGACAAAACGGTGCTGAAGAACTTATTGTTCCACACATGCTTCTTCTATTAGTGCTCGTATGTTCGTTTCTATTTACGTTCATGCGTCGCTCATAGATCGATCAACGACGACTTGGTCTCTCGTATTTATGAAGTTATTTCTTTAAAATACAAACACAACAAAATGGCTTAATTTTCTTTTTTTGTTCATACTTTTTTTTCTTTTGCAACACAACGAATTTTATTTCATATCTTTTTTTTCTTATTAACAAAACCACGGAAAGCGCGCGCGATACACATCATTAAATTTTTTTTCTCCCTAAAAAAAGCAGCAAAAAAAAATATGACAACGACGACGACGACGACGACGACGATGACGACGACAACAAAATCCATCTTTTTAATTCATGTGTGATCCAACAGCAAACGTGGCGATGTTCAATGTTTTTTTTTCATTTTTTTTGCTTTCCATCTTTTTATTTATCTGATTTTTTGTTTTTTTTTGTCCCTATATATCACCAGTAATATTCAAATAAATATTTCGGACGCCATTCATTGTGTACAACAAATTGAAATTTTAAAAAGAACGACTACTAAAATCTCTTATTTATTCACTATCAACGTTAACTAGATGACCTTGAATTCATCATTTGTATTTGATTAGATTATAAATTTTATATACATACAGTACAAATCTTTTGTTTATTTGCAATTTCTTTTTTTTTTTCTTTTCTCTAGTCAACGATCTTATATTCGTCATACATTTCATTTTGTCATGCATGGTTTCCGCACAATATTCTCTTCTTTCTTCAAATTTGTATCAATATGTATGTCCTATAATATGCTCTTTTTTTTTCTTTTTTTCTGAGGTAGCAGTTACGTATGTGTATACGGTTGAATAGGCACATAAACGAAAAAAAAATGCCTCATCATTGGCTTTTTTTGAAAAGCATCCACTAAGGTATGGTTTGGTATGTAATATTACCTTGAGTCGATAGATATGCCTGACAAAAAAAAATCGAGAGAAAATGTATATACATGTAAGAGAGAGAGAGCGAAACCTGTATTGCCCACCTCTATATGAGAGAGAGTAGCAAGCTTTTTCCCCCTTCATCGATAGTTAACTTGCATGAAAACAAACTTATTTTTTGTGCACTTTCTTTTTTTTCTTCTCTCTCTTCCCCTTTTTTTTTGTCTACCTAAGCGTGTGAATGTCCATCTTTCTTCGTATGAAAAAGAAAACAGCAAGATAACACTGACCCTATAGAAATAAATAATATTTTCTTAAATATTCTTCTAGATAATCGAGTGTGTGCGTGTGATCTAAACACTCAACAATGGCCAATCCTCTAGTCGCTGCACTCGGTCCAGTCGGTGGCCTTGCAGCGTGTGCTTGCTGTTTAATTATTGCTGCTATATGGGGTCTTTTTGCTACCATGATTGCATTAGCCGTTTATACAAGTACGTTTTGATTTTATTTTATTTTATTTAAAATTTTCATTTATAATCTTATAGAGGAATGGCGAGATGCTATCAAAAGAGCAAATAACATCAGTGGTGCTGGAGATGTACAAATGTTCTTTAGTCACGCTCTTCTCCTTGGCATACTTTGCGTATATGGCTATGTTGGTCTTCGGCGAGCAATTCGCTCAGCTAACTAAAATAAAAACACATACATATTTAATATATAATTGTCAAAAAAGCGAATATAAAAGTGATATCAACCTAATAACAACACCACTTTCTTTTTGTTAACACTATGAACCACTACGAATATAAACAATAATAGTGATGATGATGATGTGCTTGTTTTTTTTTTGAATTTTTTCTTTGCGTGTTTTTTTTTCTTTTTCATTAAATTCACCGCCCGTTGTGTAAAAATAAATACGACATTTATCATCAATACAATGTCTTTCTTTTCATTTCAATACAAAGATAAAACAATCGTAAAAAGTATTTTCAAGGAATCAAGAAAAATAAACAAACTAATTGAGTATCGATTTAACTATATAAAATATAATAAAATTTTCGTAAAGTATCGAACTATCAAAAAATATTTACAGATCTAAATTTGTTAGAGTATAGCAGTTTATTGACTATTAGTTGGACAAACTATCATATAAAAATACAATCGCAAATAAATTTCCTTTATATGTTCAATGATAATTTTTATATAAGTAATATTTGAAATATCTATCGATAATTATAATTATATATGTTGAAAAGTAATGATTCTTTCGCAATTGATCTAATCAATAGAAATATCTATTCTTAAAAACTAAAATTATTGAATCAAAAGAAAAGTACTGTTGGTTATAATATTACAATTAAATATTTTATCAATGAGTTTTGAATAGTGTTACAGCTACATCGCCTTAGAATATTATATATTCTTTCTCGTTTCACTCTTCTTATCTTATATATATACACCTTTACATGTTAGTAATGAAGAAAATGAAGAAAAACAACCTAAAACACCTTCAGTTACTCGTATGGAACAAGAAGATCGTCGTTTACAAGCACGTGAAATTCATAAAGACGATGATGATACTGATAGAATGGATTTAGATGATAAAATATCAAATAATCATGTTAAAATGGATATTGAATTATCAGATGATGATGAAGAAGAAATTGAACGACGTCGACAACGATTACTTATGAAAGCAGAAGAAAAAAAAGAAGAAGGATTACTACAAGTTGAAGATGAAAACGAATCTGAACTATCAGAAGAATCAGAAAGTGAAGGAGAATATGATGTTGATAGTATACCAAGATTAAAACCTGTCTTTGTTGAAAACATTGATCGTCGTACAATTGCAGAACGTAAAGCTGGAGAAAAACATCAAATACAATTAGAAATTGAACGAAAACGTCTTGTTCATCAAAGAAAAATGGAAACAAAAAGAATCGTTGAAGAAGCTATTAAACAAGAAGCAATTAAAAAAACTGAAGAAATTGGTGGTATTCAATGTGATTTTGATATTGATGATGAAGATGGTAAAGTTGCTTATGATGCATGGAAATTACGTGAACTTGAACGATTAAAACGTGATCGAAAATAAAAAAAAGAGCGAAACGAGAAAGAATATAAATATAGATGATTTTGTTCATTATATCAAACAAATATTTGTAAATTTTTCTGAGGTTTTTTGAATGAATAATGTAAAAAATATACTTTTTTTCGTAAGAATTGCTAGCAAAATAGGCTTATAGTTTCACAGATCTACAGTTAACGCTTTCAATACAATGTGCCTTCATCCCCTCTGTTCAACAGTGAAAATCCCAGGTCGCTATATGGTTCGTATTTATTTTATCGTTGGTAGTAACAATGTACTTGAATATATAACTAAAGATGCATCAAATATTATTCATTTTTCTGACGATCTCTTTCGTTTTGATTTCCTTTGAGATCAAACACAATGTTTACAATCTATAAAATCAATCAAGAGATTTTTATAGACGTCTGTTAGAATCCAATTCTACAAAGCTTCATTAATCGAGTTCAAGTTTCAATCAAAAATTGTTTCATTTGATTCATTCGACTATAAATACTTGAATATATATGCTGAATTCGTTTTCAATTTATATGCATAATATATTATTAAATTAAACATAAAAAGTCGTCCTTTATACTATACCTATTCTAATGTTAACCATTATCTTTTGACTACAGTACACAGTAAGTTGTTTTTTTTTATTAATAGTAATTAAACTAATAGAGAGAGTTATTAATGACATTAGTATGAGAGATTGATGTATATGGTTATAGAACAAAAAAAAAACCCTTTCATAATGTATATATATATATATTGTCTGAAGAAACAAAAGCTTAATATGATGTAACTGTAAAAAAGCATAATTGATGAATTTAAGGTTCGTGTATGATTTCATCGTCGAAAGCATATCGAAAGTCATTTTGAATATTTGTCATCAAAAGAATGATCGCGTGTGTTCATTTTCATTCGGTAATTATAGCCTCTGTTTTTTAATGTATCGTATGTTATGACGTGCTGATTTTTTTTCTTCGTTTTTGAAGATTATCGCTTCAGGCAGATATCATTCGAATGAACAATAAATATACATCTGTATCATTTCACCACACCCACTTGTTTCCTCCTTTACTTTTAATAAAACTCACTCCATCTTACTGCCATAAAACATCTATACACATACTCATCAATAGCAAAAGTCATTAGTTGAAATAAATGGATCATATTGTATATCGATAGTTTTTTTTTATAGTTTCTTAATCGAACAATCTCTCTTATAGAAATTGATGATAAGTAGATTTATTTGAGAAGAAGAAGAAGAAGTTTAGTTTAATATAATATAATGCGTGATAATATCAATCTCTATGGAATATGTTTCGATTAATAATAATGATGAAAAAAAGTCGCCATTGTTTCTATGAAGTTAGTTGTCATAAGGGAACAGCTAGCCTACAAGAACGATCGAACTAATTACTAGACTGTTCATTCATCTGGCTAACATATTTGTCAAGTCATGTTTCTATTCGGACAATGTCCTTTATTTTATATATATACAGGTATTGAATTTTTTCTTTAGCCGATTGGTTGATTAAGAGAATATATTGATACAACCAGAGAGAATAGAAATAGAACACAGAGAGAGAGAGCGGTGGAGGAGGAGAAGGAGGACAAGTCTATAATTTTCAAGATCAAATGTAAAAACGAAGGAGAGAGAGAAAGAACAAATTTGTGGCGCTTGATTGAGTCGCTCATTCAATCGCCGGCATGTATGCATTTTCAAGTCTTTCGAATTATCCATTATCGCGATAATACAGGCGGGCCTTTTTGCTCGGCATCAATACTTGAAAAATGTGTATATACATGTATTGTCGGGACAACCTTCGTCATTATGTGCTGCGAGCAAGTCTATATATACATGTATTGTTATACATGGAATGATGATGATGATGATGACGCCCTGTTGAGCACAGACAGACTGATTGTGTAAGTAATGTACATAAGTACAAGTCTCATTTAACTTAAAAGAAAAAGGTAAAAACGTTTATATTGTCTTTTGATTACAAAGAATTTTGTTTTTTGTTAACATTGGAAATTATTTTTTTGTTTCTCTATAGGCCGTCTGCTTTCGTACCCATCATATGTCACGTTCTATCACATTAAATCAACAAGCATCGTGTGGCTCTATTTGTCTTTGTATGTATGTGATCCATGACAGGAGAAGAGAATGGAATCGAATCAGGTTTCTTTTATGTTATAACACCATTGAAATTATTGAAAAAGCAAATGTATGTTTATTTTATTTCAATTGAACCATCAATATTTTCTTAGACTATTATGACTTCTCTTCAAGTTTTAATTAGATTTCTTCTTCTTCTTCTTTTTATTATCTATATCATTTTAAGTTGAATATAGAGAATTGTTTTAATCCGTGTATTAACTTGAGGAAGAAAAGAAAGCTGACTCTTGAACTATTTGATAGATGCCTGTCTCAAATGATTTACTAATTCTTTGACTCCTCCTGTTTCTTTTTATCTATAAGATTTGCATGGAGATGATGATGATGATCAACGTTTGACTGGGATTTAGCAAACGAATGAAGTTACTTCCGTACCGCACTTTTTTCTTTTTTTTTAATTTAGTGACGACGACGCCGGTAAGCTTAACCACACTTGTTCATTTTTAAATAAAGAAGGAAAAGCTGTTAAAATCCGAAACGAAAATATGAATGAATATTCATTATGTGTGAAGAGGAGACATAGACCGGATAAGTCGATAAAGTGACGAGAGATGGTAAACACGTGCCCAATATTGAAATGATAGACTTTATATTTATCGCAGCTTTATTTTATTTTTATCACAATAGAGAAGAAAGAATAGATGACGATGACATTTTTCAAGTGAATTGTTCTTCTCCTCTCCTCTCCTCTTATATTGATCGATATCATTTCTTCCAATCGAATAAATTATAATTACAAGGAAGAAAACATATGTAGTTGAGAAAAGAATTCAGATTGAATTGTTCCACACTGTAACACGCGCACTATGAAGCCAATTATAATCATTCTGTTACGGAGTTTTTTCTCTTAATGAAATTGCTTAAGCTAATCTTCGATCAACTGAATGTATATATATATATAAATCGTTTTTTTTCTCTCTCTCTCTCACAATTTGCTGATTCATACAGTAAGTAAATCATATGAAATAAGGTTACAAAGATAAATATCTTATTAATAAAACGTGCTATAAAAAAAGAGCAACAACAATGAATTTAAAATAATTATGTAATGTATTACATTTTTTATCGCTGGTAATATAGAACTTCTGACACTTCAATTGTTGCCTTTCATCTTTATTATTCATAATAATAAATGATTATGTTAGATCGTTAATGTATTTTTTATTTTTTTCAGATAAAACATGATTTTCTTGTTTTTTTTCATCTTACCTTTCGTTTCTTCTCAAACAATTAAACAACTCAATGAAATATCTATCAATGAAGAATTACCTATTGGTTCAATAATTACATTTTTAACTGATAAAATACCTAATTTAGATCAATCATTAGAATATGATCTTGTTACACCTGTATCTTCGGAACTGGATCTCTTCTCAATTGATCATACACGTCAATCACTTATTATTAAAAAACGTATAGATTATGAACAAATATGTACGAAAACAAATTCTACACATTGTATTATACCGATTAGTATTGCTGTTTCAAATCATGATACAATCTATGTTTATATACTTCCTATACGTATCAAAAATATCAATGATAATCCAATAAAATTTTCTGTCAATCGAACAGTTATTGAAATTGAAGAAAATGATAAAAATTGGTATAAAAAATCATATTTACTTCCACAAGCAACGGATGCCGATGGTGATTTAATAACATATTCATTATATCTTCAAAATTGGAATAAACCAACGGGTTTATTTGAATTAGATCAAACTAATTTCTCATTAAAACCATTAAAATCATTTGATCGTGAACAACAAAATCTCTATTTACTTCGTCTTATTGCTCAAAATAAACATGATAAAGATGTATCTATTGATATTATTATTATCATCAAAGATGTTAATGATAATTCACCTATATGTGAACATAATCCAACTATATTCATTATAAATAATACAAACTCAATATCAATATTATCATTAAATGTAACCGATCTTGATGAAGGTGATAATGGTAAACTTGAATATTCTATAATCAATCCCTTATCTGGTTTTACTATTGATCGTTTAACGGGTGAGATAAAATTTGATTATAAAAATTGGTTACGTGAAAATAATCAAACAAAATTATTTATTAATGTTACTGATGATGGTAAACCATATCGTTTATCAACAGAATGTATTATTGAATTAAAATTTTTATTTGCATTTGATATTCATTTTGAAACAAATTATACAGATGATAGTTTAATTAATATTGAAAATATTCATTTACCTATTGGAAAATTTCTTATTATTGATAAACAAACGAAAATGAATTGTTTCGATTGTTTAATTGATTTAAATTCATCGTTAGATGATATATTTTATCTGAATGATAAAACATTTGAGTTATATTTAAATTATAATTCGATGTTATTAATACGTATTTTATCAAATTATATGATTAAACAAGAAAATCTTCTAATAAATATTAATTTAAATGTATTCGATAAAAATAATCCATCGATAATTTCAACGAAAAATTATTCATTGATTTTATCATTTAATAAAATGAAATTATTAATTAATTCAAATATATTATTTATTAAAATTGACCAAAATATTTTTTTAAATGAACAAATTTCTATATTCAATCGTTATCATTATTGTTTAAATAATCATTCAAAACAATTTATTATCAATGATCCAACAAATACATTCGAAATTGATAATAAATATAATTTAATAGTGAAAAAATATTTAAATATTAAACAACAACAAAATTATGAAATTATACTTAAAGAAATTGAAAATAATCAAACAGAAGAAGTAAGTTCATTTCGATTTTTAAGAGATTTACAATCTTTGCCAATAAGATATTCGCCAAATAGAACTTTCGTCAGTGGCAAAACTTCAGTAGACTTCGATCAATATACTTCGTGTAGTTTCGCCAATTGGCGATAGTATAGTAGTCAAGTTAAGTGAGCTCCAAATTTGAAGTTTACAAGTTTCAAGTTTTTCGATAAATTGTAGCTTGTAACTATTAAAGTGCGGCATCGGGATTGAGTATTCAGATAGTAGAGACATCAGCTTAGTTCTTGGGCACTTTTGATGATTAGATAATAAAATTCTCTATCAGACTATCGTATTTTTAGATCTCATTCAAGATGCATGGAGGACAAATATCGAAGAGATTGGAAAAATCCCGAATTTTTCGGGTTTTTAAATCCCGTTGGTATTTGTCCTGCGATACATCTTGAGTGAGATCCGAAAATACAATGGCGTGATAGAGAATTTTATTCTTTATTCATCGAACATATTCAAAAGAACCCAAGAATTAAGCTGAAGCCTTTATTTCAAAAAAATCCCGATGTCGCTCACTAGTGACTATGTGCTTTTTTTTCTTGAGCATCACCAGTCCACTCAGCACAGTCCAGTGTTTTATCTAGGTTTTTCCTACCGAGAGTGCGATAGTGACTTCCGGGAGGGCGAAAACCTAATTTCTGGAGGGAAAGTACATAGTATAAGCACGAGGATTGTAATTTTCGGAAAGGCAAAATCGTTCTCCAGAAGGGCGCCTCCATCCCTGCTCTCCCTCTAGATAAATCACTGGCACAGTTCAGAGTATCTATTAGAACAATCAAAAACAGATGATTACAGTTTTTAGGTAGATTTTTTCACGAAGACTTGGATATCGGTAAACTCCAAATTTGGAGCACACTTAACTTGATCCTTTGTTCAGGGGAGAAACTTCAGTAGACTTTCGCCAATACACTTCATGTAATTTCGCCAATTGGCGAAAGTATAATAGACTTTCGCGAATCCATCCTTTTAATTAAATTTTTGTAGCTCACGACTGAAAATACAAATTTCTAAGAATTCTTTTTATTTCTCTCTTATAGATCAATTCATGTTCTATTCAACTTCGTATTCATGTATATGATCTGTATTCTGTTGCGAATGTATACCCATATTTTACTCAATCATTTTACATTTTATCAAGTACGAATATTTCACAATTTTCTTTACCATCACTTCCATCTTATGTAAAATATATCTCATCAAAATCGAATGAAATTTCTATCGATGAAATCAATGGTTCAATAGCCATTCAATCACCATCATTATTTTCATCTTATTCGTATGATTTTTATATTCAAGCTATTAATTCTCAGACACCATCATTAAGTTGTTCGATACCAATACGTATTTTTTTTGGTATTAATCGTCAATCACCACGATTAGTTCAAAATTTAACAAAACAATCTATTGAAATTCCATCATTAACATCAGATTTTATTTATCAAATTCAAGCTTATGATCCTGATTTATCATTAGATAATCAATATAAATTATTTCCACCATCAATTCAATATGAAGTAGATTCATCTGAAAATCTTGATATTGAACGTTATACTGGTCGAATATTTCGAAAGAATTCAAATCAATTTATATATAATTTTACATTAATTCTCATGGATTTTGGTCAACCAGATCGATTGATAACTCGTGTTCAAATAACATTTCATATTAAATCAAATGAATTACTAAATCGACAAGAAATTCCAATGTTTATTTCAACAACATTTATCCTCATTAGTAGTGCTATACTTGTAATGATTGTTCTATTAATTATTATTATACTTTTACTAAATTGTTGTCATCGACAATCATCAACAAATAAATCTTTAGCAAATATTTCACCAACAACACCGGATAGTCGATTAATTGATAATGAATATGTAAGAAAAATTTGAATACATAGAAGAACAAAAAAACTAATAATCTTTTCGTTCTTTTAGATTACAACAACAACATCATTACCACGTGTTGTTAATCGAGAACAACGAATTTATCCAACGATTACAAATGATAATGAACGAAAACTTTTAGAACAAATTCATCTTCCACCACCACCATTATATTCAGCAGAAAAAGTTTTTATTAAACAAGATTATCAACAGAATTTATCAATGAACGATATTAACAAATATTTAGAACGTTTTGAAAAAATTTATAATAATTCATCCGAATCTAATGGTCAAGAACCTATAGGATTGGTTGTGTAGATATGTTTATTTTGTATTTGTTTTTTTTTAAATCAATAAAATTCGTCAGTGATAAGTCAGATTTTTGTCTAATATATTCAATCTGCAGTACGATGGATATGTTTTCCAGTATGAAAGTGATGAATAGAAAAACTAAATATATGCACAGATAAGACATGGTACAAAAGTATCGCAAGTAATAGTTGATGCTCTCTCCCTTCGTGTGAACCAAAGCTAAACATCGTGCTTTCATAGACTTCATCAAATTACTTCTCAATATAGCGCTTAAGGATCGACAGAAGGTTTTCCACTTAGTTGACGTCGAAACTATTTGACGACTAGTCCATTGTTTCGGATGTTTTCTCAGCTGGTACTGTTTGGAAGTACTGTCTTGCTGCAAGCTCTGATATCGATCGATTTTGTAATTTATTTAACTATATATAGTTACCATTAACAATGACTTTTTGATTTTATTTAGTTACTTTTCTTAAGTGGCAGATTCGCATCATTTACAGTACTAGAAATTTTACTTTGATCTATAGAAAATCTGAGCATGCCATTTAGTAGATCTCGTCGAGTTCTATCTCGAACATAACTGGATCACATTCCGAGACGAATCGCAGGTAGAGTTATGCGAATTCGCCGATAGATAGCAGACTATTGTATTTATAAAGAATGAAGTTATTACTACATAAAAATAAAAGCTTGACTTTTTCTTTACAACATTTTGACATTAACTAATGGCAGATCACTAGTTTTCAGTTGAATACATAGATTGTATTATTACAACTTATAATCCTCGATTTTTAACCAATAATCAATACTCCTTCGTATTCATGACTCATAGTTAACCATTCTTTAGTTCTGTAACCGTAAACAAAAAGCCTCTACGAATATAAATCATTTATGCATCTTGGAAACCTTGAATAGAAAAAAAACATTCATAAAATTTCATTCTAATTTTGTATTATAATTCTTATTATTTTATACATAATAAATCAATATTAATTTCTATTGCATCATCATTCGATTGAGATAGTAAGTAAAAAACAAACAAACGATATCAACAGCTGCATAGATAAACTATGGATTGTTGTACGTTGATTTATAAGAACGAATGAATGGAAGAAAAACAATTAATCGATAAAGAGAAATTTCTAGTATTTTCTTTCTTTCTAGAGTCACAGTCTTATTTTTTTCTACTCATCATCTTTATAAACAGTAAAAAATGGGTTTCGGTGATCTTCAAGCTCGTGATGGACTTCTTTTACTCAATAATTTCCTTGCTGACAAATCATACGTCGAAGGGTTCGTATTTTTACATTCTTTATTTCAATAGATAAAATTAGATATTTTTGATTTAATAGATATCGTCCAACACAAGGTGATGTTGTTGTATTTGAAGCTGTAAAGAAAGCTCCAGCAACTGATCTTGAAAATGCTCTCCGTTGGTATAATCATGTTGCTTCATTCAGTGATGCAGAAAAACAAAAGTAAAAAAACATATTTTCATTGTTTATTTAATAATATTTTTTTGTTTTCTATCTTAAGATTCGAAGGTCAACGTCAATCAATTGAACATTATGGACGACAACATGGTCAAGATAGTCAAGAAAAACATGAATTTAAATCACTTTCAGTTAATCCAGCTGATAAAAAAGCCGCCAAACCAGCTGATGATGATGATGTTGATCTCTTCGGTGATGATGACAATGAAGAAGAAAGTGAACAAACAAAAGAACGTTTAGCTGCTTATGCTGCCAAAAAATCCAAAAGTAAAAACAAAACACTAAATTTTTCTACAATAAAAAATAATCAATGTTCTTATTATTTTTAGAACCAGCTCTTGTTGCTAAAAGTACAATTACTCTTGATGTATGTATTTTTTTAAGAAACAAAAAAGTAATTTCTAATTTTTCTGTATTATGAAATTAGGTTAAACCATGGGATGATGAAACAGATATGGCAGAACTTGAAAAAAAAGTTCGTTCAATTGAAGTTGATGGACTTCTTTGGGGTTCTTGTAAGTATAGAAATAATACTAAAATACAAAAAAACTAATTTCTTTTTCTATTCAAGCCCGTTTGGTTCCAGTTGGTTATGGAATCAAGAAATTACAAATCATCTGTGTTGTTGAAGATGATAAAGTAAATATTTTGATTATTATTATCTTTATTTTAAAATCAATAATTATTTAGGTTGGTACTGATCTTCTTGAAGAACGTATAACAGAATTTGAAGATTATGTTCAATCAATTGATGTCGCTTCATTTCAAAAAATTTAAATTTTATTTTATTTTATTTTTTTTGTTAAATTGTAACACCGGTTTTTGTGTTTTCTTTGAAATGAACAACTGCATTACTACATGATAAAATAAAATTTGATTTTAAAAGAAAAAGAGAAAAAAAAATACATTAAAGAATACTACATGTGTTCATATTTTAGATGGCTGCAGCAATAGAAACGAAACTCTATGTAACTAATTTTCCGAGTTCAGCTACTCGACAACAATTACAACAATTTTTTTCACGTTTTGGTCGTGTTCAAGAATGTGCAAGTATGTTAAATCATATTATCAATTTACTTGACAGTCTCGATTTCGTATTTGATCATAGCAAAAAAAGTGTCAGAGATGAATAACTAGCTTGTCACTATCTTTTACAGTTTCATTATGATTTGTGTCAAATATAAATAATAAAGTGTTGTAGTACTTCATATAGAATGTCAAAATCATTTTCTGTTCAATGAATTGAGTTTGATTAGTATTAACATCGCTTGAAAGGCTTTTTATTCGATATAATTGATAGAATAAATATGATTATTTTTAATTTATAGTTATGTGGAATTCATATGCATTCGTCCATTATGCGACGATGGACGAAGGTAAATTAATTTTAGTTTAAACTAATAATTTTATTATGTTTTTTTTGTTATAAATCAGCTCGTCGTGCTCTTGATCAATCTAATGGTGCCATGTTTCTTAATCGAAAATTAATTGTTCAGTTATCCACATCTCGTTTTCGACCACAACCAAAAGAATTAAATACGTCTTTAAATCAATTACCTGAACAACTCATGATAATGGATACTTCATCATCAGTTCCATATCATCATACAAATATAAATCAACAGCAATCAACTTCACTTATACCACAATATACGTATCCTGAACTTCTAATGACATCAGCCGGTTTTCGTCAACAGTCATCATCACCAATTTCAGATAATCATAATTTTTTTCGTCCTACATCACCAATAACTCAGGATATCAATAATTATTATTCACAATATTCAAATATATCACCAGATCAAATACCATCATTACCATTAAAAATCAATCCTATAAAGCCAAATAAAACTATAAAAACAGGTAATTCTAGTTGAATGGATTTATTCATATACATAAACGGATCGATACCAGGGATGAGCAATCTTTTGGACACCTTTGCTAATAAACCATGGCAATAACCTTATGTTAGATTTAACTGAGGTATTCATCCGTTAGAAAACAAATCCTTTCTTATTTTTAAAAATACGAAAAGAACAACAACAATCAATAAATCAATTGCATTTTCATTTTAGACATGGGTAATAATGGTGAATTACCTAAATTATATTGTACGAATTTACCAGATAATTGTAAAGCAAATGAATTACAACGTTTATTTTCATCATTTGGACATGTTGTTGATTGTGTTATTTTATGGGATTATTATGCATTTATAACATATAAAACATTCGTTGAAGCAGAACATGCATTAATTGCAGTTAATGGTTTTACATGGAAAGATCGACGTCTTATTGTTGAATGGTCACGTGCATCTGGACGAAAACAACAACAACCATCGCCTTCAATATCATCGTCATCACCACCAAAACATAATTCATATGGTAGTATAACAAAAAAAATCGAATTAGAGAAAATTTATTTTATTTATTTTTGTTTAGCAGAAATTTCAACTCCAACATCATCACCACGCAATCGTCCATCGACTTTATTAACTCATTCGTCGACTTCGAATGGTCAATTTTATGAAAATAATTCATCGAAATTACTTCCATCACCACTTAAATCACATCATACATATAATCAAAATCTTGCTTTAATGTCAATCATGCAACAACAACAGCAACCGTTTTTACATAATCAACATCATGCATCAATGCCATACAATACATATAAAAATGGAAATAATATGGATGTTTTATCAAATGAAAATCAACAAATATTTGACAAGTAAATTTTAGTTTATTTTTCTAACTTTAAATTTTTGTTATTCTATTTGTTAAGTTTAACAAATTCATCATCATCGTCATCATCATCATCAAATCATCGACTTGATCTATCACCATTTATTGATACAAATCCGAATACAATTTTTTCATCATCATCAGAACTTAATACACCATCATCAACAACATCAAATTCAAATGTTTATCAACCATCCGATATAATTGCTTTACTTGAACCATCATTACCCAATGTATCGATGAATAATAAATCAATGAATGATATAACTAATACATTCAATCATGTTCCTCCAACATGTTCATCAGCAGCAGCTGCAGGTGTTGCTGCATTATTTCAAGAGAATATACTTTCATCATTATTTACTTCATTTGAACCGTTCAATAAATTATATTCAGTTGATGAACAACAATCATCTTCACGTTATAATCATTTTTCACCATTATTAACAACAGCACCTAACAATAGTCATTATCCAATGTCTTGCGGTCATAATAATTCTTGGCGTTAAATCTAACTTTGTTTTCTCTTTTGTTAATTATTTGTTTTTTTTTCTTTCTTTCCGGTGTGTATGTGTATTTGTTATTTCATACAAAACTATCTACACCAGCGCGTTTCTTTTTCTAGTCGCACGTGTCTGTCTTTGTCGGCCATAGGTTTTTCTTTTTTTTTCTTGCTGCGCGATGAATAGTAGTTCTTTTTGACATATACGATTTTCTTTCTTTCTTTGTCTTTTTTTTCTGTTTTTAGGAAATCAAGATAAATCATTTTTCGTTGTGTATTTAATTTTGATTGATCGGATATATCATCATGATCTCGAGAAGATTTGTTCGTTTTTTTCGAATTAACAAAAAAGTGCTCTTGTATTAACGTTTCGCTAAAATGATGTTTAGTTTTCTATATATGTTTGATTTAAAAAAACAAACATCTTCGTTGTGTCTCAGGTTTTTGTTCTTTGTTTAAAAAAACAAGACGGTACTCACATTATGACTTTATCTTTTTTTCACTTCAGTCTTTTGTTGTAATACATCTATCTGTTTTTTTTCTTCTCTTTCAACACCATACTCCCCCATTTGTTTGAACAGTTTTCTCATTTATTCACTCTCATTGTTTATGTTGGGTTCTCTTCTTTTTCTTCTCTTTTTTCATTAACGAATGAGCTCTTGTTGTTTGTTATTCAGTTGTATTTTGTCGTCATCATCTTCTTTTTTATTACTACACTAGCATGTCTGACATCAGATTTTTTTTGTTTCATTTTTCATCCTTATTTTTCTATGATTTCTCACTTACTGTTACTGTGGATTTCAACCAGAGTTTATTGTGTTGAATTATGTACATGTTTGCACTTCAATGATGAAGACAATGCTATTAAGAGGAAAACAAAAGGAAAACTTCGTTAGCATAATGAAAAGTTTGTGTTATTTTCGAATAAAAAGAATTGACGAAGTGAAAAGTAAAAAAAAAGGATATTTGTTGATTATTTTCAATCAAGTTTTGATATTCTCTTTGAATCTATTGAAAAAATTAATAGAAAGAAAACAAAAAGTCAATATATTTTTACAGATGAATCGTTATCCTGGTCCTCCACAACCATCTCAAGGACAACCATTGTCGTCGGTAGGTGTTTATGCACCGCAAGGAATGACAGGTCATATGCCAAGTCCACAAACTGTTCCACCATATAGCGTTGCTGTTGGTTCGCCATCACAATATGTTCAACAACCAGGACCAGGTCCTTCACCCACTCAAGGTCATTATAGTCATCTATCGGTAATGGAATTTCTTAGTAGATTATAGTATGAGTCATATATGTATATATTGTTTTATTATTTAGCCTCAACAACAGATGATGCCAGGTCCAGCTTATGGCCAACCTATGATGCATGGCAATATGCCATCGCAACCAATAATGCAGCAGCAACCACAACCACAGCAACCACCACCTCCCCCACCACCACAACAACAACAACCTCAACAACAGCATCCTGCTCCACAACCAGATGATTTAGCAGTTAAAGTTAAACGATCATTTACTAATTTCGATACCAATCTTAAAGTAAAAATACACATAAATAGAAAAAAAAATCATACCATTGATATTTAGACATTCCTTCATGAATATTCTACTATATTACAAATGGATGATGCACGTTTAAAGTAATCCTTATTTTGTTTGTTTTTTTACAATAAAAATCTTTTGTTTAATAGTTCTCAGACACCTGATGCTCTCACTCAAACTTCTCAAAGTCTCGTAAGACGTTATGAAACTCTACTAGTCTCTCTTGATCTATTCGAATCAAATTTAGTATGTTTATACAAATCGATTTTCTCTCTTTTTAATATTTTTTGATATAATAGCGTATGTTACAAGATTATACATCGACACAAAATGATTTTCGTCGTTTTATGCCATCAGCAACAACTGTTCTCGAATCAAGTTCACATACCGGTCATCAACAAACACCAATTGCACCACTAATTGGTCGACCTGTTGATCCTGGTCAATATCAATTTTTATTAAATAAAATGCAAACACAAATTGATTCATTTAATACACTACGTGAACTAGGAAAAAAGTTTCTCGAAACATCAACAACCAATGTCAATACGAATACAACAACTAAATAATTGACTTTATCTTTTCTTTTCTTTTTTCTCTGTCTATTGTGTACTCTTTTTATTGTATAAAATAAAAAAAACAAGAAAGAATAAGAGTAAGAACAAAATAGTTGAAAATGATGAATGATCGTTACACTGGTAATGTTACAAATCTTGATTATGAGAATGTATCAGAAAATGATTCCATAAATATTTTGGATGACCAGTTCAAAAATTGTATGGAAATTCTTATTGCTCAATGTATCGGTGCTATTCCAAAGAATTATTCCGTATGTCGCATTTGTTTTAATAAATAAAACAAAAAATAGTTTGTCTATATAATTATTTAGATAGAATATCAACGATTATCAGCTTATGCTTATTATCCACCGTTAAATGCTCAACAACTTCATAAACTTGCAATTGAAAATATTACATCTGATGAAATAGAACGTCGTATAAATGAAGAAGTTTATAAACAATTAGAATTCAGTTTTGAAAAGACAATGATTCATTGGAATTCAATTGTTCAAACAACAGCTAAACGATATGTATCAAATTCTGTTGAAAAAGCTGTGGAAACAATACGAAGAGCATTATTAGAAAATATTAATCAAGAAAATCAAAATACAAATATAATTGTTCAACGTTTTATATTAGATAATAATCAATTAAAACTTGTCTAGAAAACGTTTTTTTTCAAATAATTAACATAGATTTTTCTTTAGAACAAAACTCCATGATTTATGACTTTTATTCTTGTTATCTATATTATTGAAATTTTTTATGATCTTATTTTTATTACTATAAAGTTAAGTTTGCAAAATCTTGAGATTAAAGAAATTTTTTTAAATAAAGAACTGGTTGACTCATCTTATTATAAATATATATTCCTTAACTTTCGAGAATAAAAAAAATTCATGAACTTTATTCTCAATATGTTGGAGGCATAGTAGGTAACGCAAGTTCTTTGAAAAAGTCATCGGTGAACATTAAATTCTGTAATTTCACACACATTTTAGTCTATGCACAATCTTAATATTGGCTAATTTGTAGGTTGCAACTTAGGATACAATCTAATTGTTTTGAGGTTTTTCATGTCGTATTGAGGTCTATCTATTGCCAAGAGATGGTACCTGAAGGGCTTAATTACTTGAAGAGGTTTCCTCGTTAGTATAGTTTTAAATCAATTTTGAGGGCTTGTAGCTAGTTGCAATTTCTTCTAGTAGATTTCATTTGTTTATCTAATAATTTCTTTCTTCTCAATGCTGTCTAGTTGATTAAATTAAGAATATTGTCGACGTATTGCTTATTTCATAAGAATGTTAACAAAATTTTAATATTTAACATTACTGAGAAATAAATTTGTGTTTGATGATCTTTTTTGAGTATAGATGTGCGTTCATAACTAAGATATATGAAGACATCAAATCATAACTTTCCTTGTTTATTTTTATTCGATAGTATTTCAAAAAA